GTCTTTTTGAGACAGGGTCTCCCTGTAGCCTCAGCTGTCCTGGAACTCACTATATAGACCAGGCTGGCCTCGACCTCACAAAGATTTGCCTGCCTCTGCCTCCTGAGTGCTGGGATTAAAGAAGTGCACCACCATGCCCGGCCTTATTATTTTTATTTTATGAGTGTATTGCCTACATGTAGGTAGGTGCACCCATGTCATGCAGTGCCCGAGGAGGTCAGAAGAGGGTGTTGGATCTCCTGGAACTGGAGTTATGGACAGTTATTAGCCACCACCTGGGTACTGGGAATCAAACCCTGGTCTTCTGCAAGAGAAGCCAGTGCTCTTAACTACTGCCATCTCTCCAGCCCCTTAAGGCTACAGTTTGAAACCATGTTTCAAAAACAAAAAACAACAAAATGGGGCTGGAGAGATGACTCATTGGTTAAGAGCATTGGCTGCTTTTGCAGAGGACCTGGGTTCAGTTCCCAGCACCCACATCAGGCAGTTCACAACTGCCTGTAACTCCAGCTTACACCTCTGACCTCCATGGTTACCTGCACTCACATGCACATACACAGACACACATAATTAGTAATAAAAATAAAACTTTTAAAAATACCCAAAACAGGGTTGAAGAGATGGCTCAGCAGTTAAGAACACTGACTGTTCTTGTGGAAGACCCAGGTTTGAATCCCAGCACCCACATGGCAGATAACAACTGTATGTAACTCCAATTCCAGGGGATCTGACAGCCTATTCTGTCCTCTGCGGACATTGCACAACACAGGTGCACTTACACATACATAGGCAATACATGCATACACATAAAATAAAAATAATAAATAAAATATTTTTTAAAATACCCAAAACAATAACAAGAGAGCTTGAAGTAGGGGTATAACTCATTGGTGGATCTCTTGCCCAATATACATGAAGTTCTGAGTTCTAATACCCAGCATGTGTGCGCACGTGCGCACGCACGCACACATGCACACACACGCATACACACACACACAGGCTAGTGTAATGAATAACTGAAGTTTCAGATTGTCTTTTGAGATTTACATTGTGAGTAGTGTGAAGCAATCTGAGGTTTGTGGTTCAGCTTGGTAAATACAAAACATCCAGAAGTTTTATTGCCACGGTGAACTGGAAGGATTTCAGGAATTGGCTGAAAGCAGTTTATCCACAGCATAGCCTGTTCCCACTTCTAGCTTTCTCAATAGCTGCCATTTAAATTTCTTCAAGATGGTCAAGTTCACTGAGCAAAGATGGGGTCTGACAAGACTCAGAGACCTGTTTACTGACCTGAAGGGTTTCTTTAAAGCAGCAGATGTGGCTGCCCTTCCCTCTCAGGCTGCTGCCCTGCTCTTCCTGGTGTCTGCCCATCAGACTGCTTCCTTTGCTAGGCTCTTCACCTTCAGAGTGGAGATAAGAACTGCCTGGTTGCCCGCTCCAAGTGCTACCTGAAGATGGGAGCCTTGGAGGAATCCCTGAAGGATGCTGAAGCCTCACTCCAGAGCGACCCAACTTTCTGCAAGGTGACTGCCAGGTGGGAGGTTTCACTGTGTCCCTTACAACAGCTTCTGGGTACCCACAGTTGCAGAACTAGCCAGATTGCCTGGTGTCTGATGCCCTTCTCTCTTTAGCACATGCCTGGCTTCCTGCTCCCTTGTATTCTAACCTTGACCTTCAACCCAGGACCCCTTCATCCTACCATACCTGTGCCCTGTAAGGCCTTGTCTCTCCCCTTGGACTTGACTGTCTCTCATTCTAGGGGATTTTGCAAAAGGCTGAGACACTGTACACCATGGGCGACTTTGAGTTTGCCCTGGTGTTCTACCATCGAGGCTACAAACTGCGGCCTGATCGAGAATTCAAAGTTGGAATTCAGAAAGCCCAGGAAGCCATCAACAACTCTGTGGGAAGTGAGTGAGCATAGGGGCTCTGTCTTGTCCAGACAGGCTCAGGGATGCTTCTGTGTGGGGAAGGTCCAAAGTTCAGAGTGCAAGCCGCTACCACCAGGGAGTCATGCTTGGATTGGGCTGTTGCTGATGTTACTGATTAAAATCTGTTCACTAGGTGACCCTCTAGCCATGCTAGGAGGGTTGCTTTGTAGTCTTGGTTATAGCCTGAAGTCACAGACTAGACTAGGATCTCTGTGAGTCCAGCCTTCCTGAGGCCCCGCCTTCCTCAAGCTGGTTTTTGACATCACCTCCTTGACAAAGGGAAGAGGGATGTGGGTGACAGCTTGTCCCTGTGGGCACCACAATGTGGAATGGCATGTGACAGTCTCCCTGCACCCCGGATCTCCCTTTGTTTGGAAATCTGGCTGCTGTGGCCTTGGGCTAATGGGGGATATCAGTGCTCAGGAGGTTGTTGTACCAAACAGCCTGCACCATTTGTGTGCTAGGGTGGCTTAAAACCAGCTCTACCACAGCCTCCACTATCCCCCTGCCAAAGGCAGCCATTTCTACATAATATGTGATAGGCCATGCCTGAGAGACTTGGCCAAGCTGAGCACCAGCTTCTGTCCTTGCAGGCCCTTCTTCCATTAAGCTGGAGAACAAAGGAGACCTCTTCTTCTTAAGCAAGCAGGCTGAGGTAAGGTGCCTGGTTCTGAGGCCATGTGTGCCTATTATTGCCTGGAAGCATTTCCCTCTTCCCCATCATGGGCTGCTGTGAGTCTCTCCCAGCTCCAGAGGCATCTTGAGAATCCAGCCATGCCCAACCAAGCACATTCTCCAGTTCTCAGCCCACAGAGAGGAGGAGGGGGACTGTAGACTCTCTGATTCTGAGGCCATACTGGGTACTCTGTGTTGGTTGTTGAGGTTCCATTGGGTCACTTTATTTTCCAGAGTATGAAAGCCCAGCAGAAGCCTCAACCTGTGAAGCAACTCTCATACAGCACCAAGAATGAAACCAAGCGAAGAGGCTCCCTCAAGAGCGAGAAGACCATCCGCCAGCTGCTGGGAGAGCTCTATGTGGACAAAGAGTATCTGGAAAAGCTCCTGTTGGATGAAGGTTTCAGGCCCTTTGTTGCCAACAGGGGCTTGGGGCAAAGGAAATCTTGGGTGGGTGCCTCAGGCAGAGCCTGTCATGGATATTGGCAACGTGGACCTGTGGACAGGTTTACTTACATTCTCATCTTACGGAAGTCACACACCGCTAGGCAATGATGGCTTGTATCTGAATCCAGAGTCAGTGCTTTTAAGTACTCTAGGTAGGAATAATAGAGATTTGGGTTCCTTTACTACTGTGTTGGTCAGCTTTCCATCACTGTGACAAAATACCCGAGCTAATCAAGTTGTAAGAAGGAAAGATTGGCCAGGCGTGGTTGGGCAGACCTTTAACCCCAGCACTTGGGAGGCAGAGGCAGGCAGATCTCTGAGTTCAAGGCCATCCTGATCTACATAGTGAGTTCCAGGACAGCTGGGGCTACAGGGAGACCCTGTCTCAAAAAAAAAAAAAAAAAAAAAGAAGGGAAGATTGATTTTTGGCTTACAATTTCAGAGGTTCAAGTTCATAGTCAGGTGACTCTCATTGTTTGGGAGCCGGTGGTGAGGCAGAACATTGTGGTGGGGAGCACATGGCAAAGGTGACCAGGAAGCAATGACAGAGGAAGAGGCAGGGGTCTCAATATCCCCTTCAAGGACATGCGCCCAACAACAACCTGGCCTGGGTCACCAGTTCTCAGTATGTAGCCGGGTGCCAAGTATGATGGTGCATGCTGGGAGCAGTAGGGGTGTGCGCATGTCCTAGCCACTGCCTGGCGGGAGGTTAGAGCTGATTGCAATGCTGCCAGGCCACCCCTGCTCTCCACAGCAGAACCTCTGGAGAACAGGAAGCCTTCAGGCCTCTTACCAGGGAGATGCGCCAGCAGGGAAACTGTGGGCCACAGCCCCGCAGAAAACTCCTCAGATGACCTTAGGAATCTGGTTCTGGAGAAAAGACATTTGTTTCCTGGTCACCCCAGCTCAGGCTAGTCAGTTTGTGGCAAAACCCCCAAGTTTACAGGGCTCTGTCCTGTGTTCTGCGGTGTGGTGGAAAGAGTGTTGGACTGGATTCTAACTTGCTTATCACCTTGGACAGTCAGTGAATTCTATTTCCTTATAGATGAAATGAGGGATGGACCAGAGGATGTTTCAGAACATGTAGCTCAGATCCCAGTTCCTGTCAGGTTCCTTTATCCAGTGTACAGACTATCGTGTTGGTTATGATTTGCATCTTAAATGCCCCTCTCCCAACGGCCTCCTGTGTTGAAGGCTTGGTTCCTAGCCAATGGTGCTACTGAGACATGGTGGTGGAATTTTTAAGAGGAAAAGCTTAACAGAGCTTAAAAGAGGCAGGCTTCTCACGTGTTATCCAGCTGCCCCTTCTGGCTCCTATTTTGCCATGAGGGCCTTATACCAAGAGAATGCCTAAAAGAGGGGCTCTGACCTCATCCCGACCCCGCAAGATGCATCCCACCTCCCTGCATGCTCTCCCTTCCCTCTTCCCACAGCTGCAGGGAGATGTCCTCACTGGGCCCTACAGCAGGGACTCCAACCCTAGAACGGGTTCCATGTGTGTGAACTCAGTGATGCCACCCCATCACCTACCCACAGACCTCATCAAAGGCACCATCAAGAGTGGCCTGACCGTGGAGGCCCTCATCATGACTGGCATCAACTACCTGGACACTCGCAGTAACTTCTGGAGGCAGCAGAAGCCCATCTACGCCAGGGTTCGAGACCGGAAGCAGATGCAAGATAAATGGCTGCGGGACCGGAAAAGCAGTCCTTCCCAGACAGCCCGCTATATCCTCAAGAGCCTGGAAGACATTGACATGTGTGGGTAGTGTTCTCAGGTGGTAGCCTAAGCCCCAGCCTCCGCTGATCTGTGGATAGAGATTATCTGCGGGGGAGAGGACTCTACCCCTCAACAGGGAGGCGGTTGCCCTCACCTCCGTGTCACCTTCTTTTCCCAGTGCTGACCAGTGGCAGTGCTGAAGGGAGTCTTCAAAAAGCTGAAAAAGTTCTGAAGAAGGTTCTGGAATGGAACAAAGAAGAGGTGTTCAACAAGGACGAACTGGTTGGGAACTTGTACAGCTGCATAGGGAATGCCCAGATAGAGCTGGGGCAGATGGCGGCAGCCTTGGAGAGCCACAGAAAAGACCTGGAGATCGCCAAGGAATAGTGAGTGCTCACTGGGTGGCTGAGGCCCCCTAGGCACGGACCGGGAGGGACCTGGAGCTGGTAGCTCAGTTCCCATTTTCTGCCCTGCAGGCCTGAGGCTGATTCCCCGGGGAGTAGGGAATCTCCTTCTCAGGACTGAGGGGTAGGGGAGGCAAACCTTGGCTGTTAGCTTTTTGGTCACAAAAAGGAACATAATGGTTCAGCATTCCAAAACAGCTTCTAGTGGTCTGGCTCTAAGGGGTTTTTCAATTCTTGTTTCATAAACAAGACTGTATCAGCACCCAGACATCCTAGGTCTTTCTATCATTGGGAACATAGTAGTGACCAGAAATAGGCCTGTATGCCAGACAAAAAGTAGCAAATAGCATAGCTACTTAATTGTAATTGTGATAGTGTCAGAAAGCAAAAGTACAGGGTCCGTTGCAATAAGAAATGTCTTTAAGGAGGACATGCCTGGGCAGTGGGGAGTGTAGTCTGTGGGAAGGCCTGAGGCACAAGGAAGCTTAAGGCTGGAGAGCACAGAGTATTGCCAGGGAGGTGGAAGAGGGGCCAGGAGGATGCTGCACATAGTGAGCAGAGGTAGTCAGGTAGGGGCTTGTGGACCATGTGGTGACCCAGAGCATAAGCCTTGGGGTCACGTAGACCTGACTTGAGCAGGAGCCTAGGGAAATCGCTTCAACTGTCAGCCTCAGGGTTTCCTACTCGGTGGAGGGGGCGTGGCTATAGTTCCCTCCCTGGGTAGAAGGAAAGATAAAGTACAAAGGTCAAGAGCTCCAGACCACAGGGCTGGAGATTTAGCTCCATAGTAGAGCATCTGCCTACCATATGCAGGACTCTGGGCTCTGTCACCAGTTCACACACAAAGGAAAGGGAAAGGGAACAAAAACCCTTGGGCTAGTGCCTAGTGTTCATCATAACAATATCAACTCTCCCTGAAATTAACTGTTCTCAACCTGAAGCTTCTTGACAGAGGGCATCACTTTCTAGGCATCCTGATTATTTTTATTTTATTTTTAAAATTTTATTTGTATTTTATGTGTATGAGTGTATTGCCTGCATGTATGTGAGTGTACCCATGTCATGCAATCCCACGGAGGTCAGAAGAAGATTCCCCTGGAACTGGAGTTAAGGACAGTTTGTAGCCACCATGTGGGTGCTGGGAATCAAACCCGGGTCCTCTGCAAGAGCAATTAGTACTCTTAACCGCTGAGCCATCTCTCCAGCCCTAACCATCACTTTTTTAAAAAGAAATTTTTATTTAGCTTTTGTACATTTTGTACAACAGCTCTTAATCAAATTTAGACCCCATGCCCCATCAATCCCCCACCAGACCTCATGTAGTCCACCATAGTTTTTTTTAACTTTTAAAAAAATTTTATTTATTTAATTTTATTTTATGTGTATGCATGTATTGCCTACATGTAAGTAAGTGCACCTGCAATGCTAGCTGCTATGTGGGTGCTGGGATTCGAACCTGGGCCTTCTGCAAGAACAACCAGTGTTCTTAACTACTGAGACATCTCTCCAGCCCCAATTCCACCATCCATGTTAAGTCTTATCCAATTAAGCAAATTCATTTGTCCCTCAGTACATATTCATCCACTGGAGTCTAGTCAGCCTATCTAGGATTGTAAGTAAGGCATACTCTCCCTTATCCAGTAGTAATCAGTCTCCAGTAGTTCTCAATCTAGGGCTGGCCCACCACTCATTTCTCTCACTCTACTCTGGACCCTTGTCTGATTGAGTTGGCATGGGTCCTGTGCTCAATGCCACCATTACCACAAGTTCACATATGCAAACTTCAGTGTGAAAGCCTCTACTTCCCTGTGTTCATGAACCAGCCCTGACTCTTACGGTCTTTCCGCCCCCTCTTCCACAGGGGCCATCACTTTTTGTGCCATAGCCCTTGGTGGCTTGCAGTTGGCACTCAAGGTTCTCAACACACTGGCTTCTGTACCACAGCAGTCCTCCATGGGGTCAGACTCCCTGGGTACTCCTACCTCCTACCCTTTTCCTCTGCACTTAGCTGTGCCCCAGAGGCTACCCACTCCAGGTTCATTTTTACCTGTTTCCAAGGGCTAAGTAGGAGGATCATGTGTTAGCCATTCTAGAATGGGGTGAGAGGAGGACCCAGAGTTGGAGACAGATGTGTCCTTGATTCCTAGCTCTCCCACTTAGAACTATGTGGCTTGAAGTTGCTCGTCTCCTCCGTTCCTTACCTTTGCTGAAGGCATAATAATATGACAGCGGTCATGAGGGTTAAATAAAATGTGTATAGATATCACCTTGGATCCAACTATCTCCCATAAAGCCGCAGAACTGTATGTCCAACAGACTCCAAGGTGTTTCTCAGAATGTGCCACAGAAATCTTACACTCAGTGTGACTCAGTCAGAGTCCCTACATCTCTCCCAAACTTCTTGCTCTGAGGTCCCTAAGCCTTAGGTAGCCACTTCCTAGAAGTCCAGGAGGCTTCTGGGTACCTGCCTCTGGCTTGTTCATGCCTTGGCCACCCAACTTGGGTTTCTTCAGCTGGCTCTCCCTCCTGTGAAAGAACAACTCAGTGGTTGGTTGTAAGTACCAATGTCCTGCTCAACACAGGCTGCTCTTCCTGACTTGAACTGTCCTGGCCTTATTTGTCCTGGCTTTCTTTGGACTTCAGACATCCTGTGCCTCAGCAGCATGGAGCTATATGCTGCTCTTCTAGCCACTCGTAGGCTCACTGGCCTTATGCTCTGCGCCTCCTGTCTCAACAGGAATGCCTTCCCTTTCCCCAGGACTTGCCTTGCCACACAGCTCCCACTTGTTCTTTCACATTTAAAGGAGAGTTCCTCAGAGAGTGTCCACAGAGGTCAGAGGAGGGTGTCAGATATCCTGGAACTGGAGTTACAGATAGTTGTTAGCTGCCATGTGGGTGTTGGGAACTGAACCCAGGTCCTCTGCTAGAGCAGCCAGTGCTCTTAACCACTGAGTCATCTCTCCAGCTTCCAAAAAAAAAAACTTTTTTTAAACTATAGATCTTTTCTGTTGTTTTGAGACAAACTCAGATGTATCCCAGGCTGGCCTCAACCTTAAGGTATAGCTGAGGATGACCTTGAACGTCTTATCCTCCTGCTTCCACTTCTCAAGTGCTGGGATTATAGGCATGCACCACCATACCCATCTTTTAAGAAAATATTTATTTTATTTATTTGCATGAGGGATGCCCACAGAAGCTAGAAGAGGGCATCAGATCCCCTGGAGCTGGAGTTACAGGTAGTTATGAGCTGCCCCATGTGGGTGCTGGGAATTGAACTCCTAAGTGTTGGAATAACAGGTGTACATTGCTATAGTGCCCAGTTTTGGAAAAATCTTAATTTTATTTCCTGGTGATAATTTGTTACCAGACTCAACTTTCACTGCTTGCCACTTCTCACTGGAGAGAAGAGAGTCTGTAGGAAGGACGTCAGGTTTATTCAAGGGCTAGAAGATGGGGGAGCTAGCATCCCTCTCAGAGAAGACCACCTTGGGGAATTCAGCAAGGGCTTTATAGGATGGGGAACAAAGTGCAGGGGGCAATGTACTAGAAGGCTACATGCAGGGCAGGGTTTTCATCATCCAGAGAGTACAGCTTTCTCTTTTGTCCCCCTCTGACTAGAACATTGCAGTTGACCTCCAGTTCCAGAGAGAAGAGTTCCTGTCATTCTTTAAATACAGATTATTTTTCCAAAGCTAAACCTCTAGGCAACTTACATATTTTTTGCTAGTTGGTGCACAGAACTCTTGAAAGGAAGGGCTTATACATTCTGCTGTTATCTGAGGATCCCCAGATGTCCTCAGACTTAGAAATCTAAACAAACATTATTGAAACTAGGCCTGTGTCACACACCCCTATAATCCCTCCCATGGGGCAGCTGAGACAGAAAGATCTCCAGTTTAAAGCCAGCCTGGGCTACATGGGAAATTCTGTCTCAAAGAAACAAATGAAACTTTGCTGGATCATTGACATCTTAGTCATTTTGGTATAATTTTTCTTTAGAATTTAGAATGTTGGGCAAAGGTAGGGAAGTCAAAGGACAACTTGCAAAATTTCCCTCATAATCTCATTGTGTCTGGGTAAACATTGTTCACAGACTCACTTTCTGTTCTTTTAAATGAATAACACACCACACACATACACACACACACACACACACACACACACACACACACACACACAGAGTACAGGTATCAAACCCAGGGTTTGGTACATGCCAGGGAAGAGCTCTACCACTGAGATGCTCTTGTATTTCTTTTTAAAAAATGCCAACTGTCTATGTGTCTGTGAGAATTTCGGTATATCTGTATATATCTGTCTGTGTCTGTGTATGTTTGTGGCTATGTAGGTCTTAAAACAGGACATATGTATTATCTTGCAATTTTGGGGTTAGAAGCCTGAAATTGAGTTCATGGCAACAAACGGCAGTGTTGGTTAAGCTGTGTTCTCTGCAGAGATGGCCTGCCTTCTAGAGCTGAAGTCATCATACTCCATGGCTTTTGGCCCCATTCTACATTTTCAAAGCCAGCAACACAGCATCTTGCCACAGAACCACCCACATGTGTTTCCCCACTTCTGTTGCTGGGGAAAACTCAGGGCCTTGCATGTGTTAGGCAAGTACTGTATGACTGAGCTACATCCCCAACCCTCTGACTTTTTAAAAATGTTTTAAAATATTTTATTATTTTTATTTTATGTATAATAAAATACCTGTATGTGCATAAGTGCACCCATAACATGCAATGCCTGCAGAGGTCAGAAGAAGGCTTTGGATCCCCTGGAACTGGAGTACAGATGGTTGTTGGCCACCATGTGGGTGTTGGGAATTGAACCCTGGTCCTCTGCAAGAGCAGTCAATATTCTTAACCACTGAGCCATTCTCCAGCCCCTTTAAAAATATTTTTATTGATTCTCAGGGCTGGAGAGATGGCTCAGCAGTTAAGAACACTGACTGTTCTTGCAGAAGACCCAGGTTCAAATCCCAGCACCCACATGGCAGCTAACAACCTTTGGGAACTCCAGTTCCAGGGGATCCAACAGCCTCTTCTGTCCTCTGTGGGCATTGCACAACACGGGTGCACATACCTACATGCAGGCAATACAAGCATACACAGGAAATAAAAATATAAAATATAAAGTATTTTTATTGATTCTAGAATTTCATACTTTGTATTTTGATCACATTCAAACCCCCTCCCCTCTCTCCACCCCTTCCCCCACTGCCCTCAACTTCATGTCCTCCATCATTATCTATCCTTTACTCTTTTGTTTTGTTTGGGGTTTTTTTGTTGTTGGGGTTGTTTTATTTGTTTGTGTTTTTGAGACAGGGTCTCCCTGTAGCCCCAGCTGGCCTGAAACTCACAAAGTAGACCAGGCTGGCCTGCCTCTGCCTCCCGAGTACATGTGCCACCACGCCTGGCTGGTTGTTTTGTTTTTTAAAGGCCCATTGAATCCAATCTGTGTCTTCCAAGTGCTCCTGGGTATGGGTCCATCCCCTAGAGTCTGGTCAACATACCAGATGTCACCAGTAAGGAAAACCGAATCTCTCTTTCTCAGCATCTGTTAGTTGCCAATAGATCCTGCCTGCCTCCCTGATGCATGTTGGGCCCCTGCCTGGCTTGGGTTTGCAGAGGTCTTGTGTATGCCATCACAGGCACTATGAGTTCATATGTGCATCTACCCTGTGGCATCTAGACAACACATTTTCCTTGTATTCATCCACCACCTCTGGCCCTTACAGTCTTTCCACTACCACCCTTCTTCCGCAGTGATCCCTGAGCCTTGGGAGGAGAAGATCTAGGTGTCCTATTTATGGCCAACCCTCTAACTTTCTAACTTCATATGCCTTGGTCTTTTTTTTTTTTTTTTTTTTTTTTTTTTTTTTTTTTTTTTACTTGGAGACAGAGTCTCCCTGCAGCCTCATCTGGCCTGGAACTCACTATGTAGACCAGACAGGCCTTGAACTCACAGAGATTCGCCTGCCTCTGCCTCCCAAGTGCTGGGACTACAGGCATGCGCCACCACGCCCGGCTCTGCCTTGGTCTTTTTTTTAAATACCTACAAATTACCATTGCTAAGGCACTGCTAACAGATTATTTCCAAAATAAGAAATTTGGGCCTGGAGAGATGGCTCAGCGGTTAAGAACACTGACTCCTCTTGCAGAGGACCTGGGTTCGATTCCCAGCACCCACATGGCAGCTACCAACCATCCTTAACTCCAGTTCCAGGGGAATCTGAAGTCCTCTTCTGACCTCCGCAGCATTGCATGACACAGGTGCACTCACATACATGCAGGCGATACACTCATACACAAAATAAATATAATAAATAAGAGCCAGGCGTGGTGGCACATGCCTGTAGTCCCAGCACTTGGGAGGCAGAGGCAGGTGGATCTCTGTGAGTTCAAGGCCAGCCTGGTCTACATAGTGAGTTCCAGGACAGCTGGGGCTACAGGGAGACCCTGCTTTAAAAAGACAAAAAATAAATAAACAAACAATTAATTATTTTTTAAAAACTTTAAAAAAATGTATTCATATGTATGCGTATCTGCCATGTGAGTGTAGGTGCCTATAGGGGCCAGAGGCCAGAGTTGGATCCCCTATAGCTGGAGTTACAGGAAATTGTAAGCTGCCTGACAGTGGGTGCTAGGAAACAACCTCTGGTCCTCTGGAAGAGCAGTACATACTGTCAACCACTTAGTCACCCCTTCAGTCCTTTCTGAAGGCCAGGTGTGGAGGCACGCCTTTAATTCCAGCACTCTGGAGGCAGATATCTGTTGAGTTCAAGGCCACCCTGATGTACATAATGAGTTCCAGGACAGCCAGGGCTACATAGTGAGACTGTTTCAAAAACATAGCAAACAACAGGGTTGGAGAGATGGCTCAGCGGTTAAGAGCATTTGCTGTTCGCTCTTCCAAGAGACCTAGGTTCAGTTCCCAGCACCCACATGGCAGTTCACAACTGTCTAGAACTCCTGTTCCAGGTGATCTGACCTTGCCAGCCTGGGTATCTTCCACCTGGAACCCTGAGTCCCTGGGGTCCTAGTTTTTGCCTTCTTTCCTCTTTTCACAGTGCCTAGAACAACTGATTTCTAGTGGCTGACTGCTTTTGCTTCTTCTCCACAGTGACCTTCCCAATTCAAAATCCAGAGCCCTTGACAACATTGGCAGAGTTTTTGCCAGAGTTGGGAAATTTCAGCAAGCCATTGACACGTGAGTCACCAGGAACTACCTACCTCTTCCCCACCCTGGCGTTGGAACTTCCCAACCTCACAATCTGCAGCCAGAATGCTAGACAAAGAGGCATTAGAGAACCTGGGCTTGAGAGACTGGAGACTCAGTGGTTGAGCGCATTGGCTGCTTTTGCAGAGAACCCAGGTTTGATTCCCAGCACCCACATGGCAGCTCAACAACCTTCCGTAACTCCAGTTCTAGGGTATCTGACACCCTCTTCTGATCTCTGTGGGTGCTGCATGACATGGGTGCACTTAAACACATGCAAGCAATACACTCATACAGATAAAAATAAAAAAATAAAAAAGAATATTTAAAAAAAATAGCCGGGCGTGGTGGCGCACACCTTTAATCCCAGCATTTGGGAGGCAGAGGCAGGCGGATCTCTGTGAGTTCGAGGCCAGCCTGGTCTCCCTAGTGAATCCAGGCCAGCTGCAGCTACAGGAGACCCTGTCTCAAAAAGACCAAAAAAAAAAAAAAAAAAAAAAAAAGGGCCAGGTGGGGTGGGGCCCGCCTTTAGTCCCAGAACTCAGGAGGGAGAGGCAGGGGGATTTCTGTGAGTTCGAGGCCAGCCTGGTCTCCCTAGTGAATCCAGGCCAGCTGCAGCTACAGGAGACCCTGTCTCAAAAAGACCAAAAAAAAAAAAAAAAAAAAAAAAAGGGCCAGGTGGGGTGGGGCCCGCCTTTAGTCCCAGAACTCAGGAGGGAGAGGCAGGGGGATTTCTGTGAGTTCGAGGCCAGCCTGGTCTCCCTAGTGAATCCAGGCCAGCTGCAGCTACAGGAGACCCTGTCTCAAAAAGACCAAAAAAAAAAAAAAAAAAAAAAAAAGGGCCAGGTGGGGTGGGGCCCGCCTTTAGTCCCAGAACTCAGGAGGGAGAGGCAGGGGGATTTCTGTGAGTTCGAGGCCAGCCTGGTCTCCCTAGTGAATCCAGGCCAGCTGCAGCTACAGGAGACCCTGTCTCAAAAAGACCAAAAAAAAAAAAAAAAAAAAAAAAAGGGCCAGGTGGGGTGGGGCCCGCCTTTAGTCCCAGAACTCAGGAGGGAGAGGCAGGGGGATTTCTGTGAGTTCGAGGCCAGCCTGGTCTCCCTAGTGAATCCAGGCCAGCTGCAGCTACAGGAGACCCTGTCTCAAAAAGACCAAAAAAAAAAAAAAAAAAAAAAAAAGGGCCAGGTGGGGTGGGGCCCGCCTTTAGTCCCAGAACTCAGGAGGGAGAGGCAGGGGGATTTCTGTGAGTTCGAGGCCAGCCTGGTCTCCCTAGTGAATCCAGGCCAGCTGCAGCTACAGGAGACCCTGTCTCAAAAAGACCAAAAAAAAAAAAAAAAAAAAAAAAAGGGCCAGGTGGGGTGGGGCCCGCCTTTAGTCCCAGAACTCAGGAGGGAGAGGCAGGGGGATTTCTGTGAGTTCGAGGCCAGCCTGGTCTCCCTAGTGAATCCAGGCCAGCTGCAGCTACAGGAGACCCTGTCTCAAAAAGACCAAAAAAAAAAAAAAAAAAAAAAAAAGGGCCAGGTGGGGTGGGGCCCGCCTTTAGTCCCAGAACTCAGGAGGGAGAGGCAGGGGGATTTCTGTGAGTTCGAGGCCAGCCTGGTCTCCCTAGTGAATCCAGGCCAGCTGCAGCTACAGGAGACCCTGTCTCAAAAAGACCAAAAAAAAAAAAAAAAAAAAAAAAAGGGCCAGGTGGGGTGGGGCCCGCCTTTAGTCCCAGAACTCAGGAGGGAGAGGCAGGGGGATTTCTGTGAGTTCGAGGCCAGCCTGGTCTCCCTAGTGAATCCAGGCCAGCTGCAGCTACAGGAGACCCTGTCTCAAAAAGACCAAAAAAAAAAAAAAAAAAAAAAAAAGGGCCAGGTGGGGTGGGGCCCGCCTTTAGTCCCAGAACTCAGGAGGGAGAGGCAGGGGGATTTCTGTGAGTTCGAGGCCAGCCTGGTCTCCCTAGTGAATCCAGGCCAGCTGCAGCTACAGGAGACCCTGTCTCAAAAAGACCAAAAAAAAAAAAAAAAAAAAAAAAAGGGCCAGGTGGGGTGGGGCCCGCCTTTAGTCCCAGAACTCAGGAGGGAGAGGCAGGGGGATTTCTGTGAGTTCGAGGCCAGCCTGGTCTCCCTAGTGAATCCAGGCCAGCTGCAGCTACAGGAGACCCTGTCTCAAAAAGACCAAAAAAAAAAAAAAAAAAAAAAAAAGGGCCAGGTGGGGTGGGGCCCGCCTTTAGTCCCAGAACTCAGGAGGGAGAGGCAGGGGGATTTCTGTGAGTTCGAGGCCAGCCTGGTCTCCCTAGTGAATCCAGGCCAGCTGCAGCTACAGGAGACCCTGTCTCAAAAAGACCAAAAAAAAATAAATAAATAAAAGAAAGCTGGAGCTCTTGGCTCTTGCAGAGGACCTGAGTTCGATTCCCAACACCCACATTGTGGCTAACAACTGTCCATGACTCTAGTTCCATAACTCCAGTTCCAGGGGATCTGACACCTTCTCACCTCTGCAGGCACTGCACAACATGGGTGCATTTACACACATGCAGGCAATACATCCACACACGTAAAACAAAAAGTCAAGGACTTTCTTTTCTCCCTACAGTTAAGAGTTAATGCAATTTGGGAGTCTTTTAGATAGACCCACTGAAGGGGTACCCCAATTGCCACGCCCTGCATCCCTGTTCAGCATGGAAGAAGCCAGAGCAGTCTGCAGTCCAATTCCCTATCGGCAATTTGGGTAACCTCTTCAGGGGGTGGTGTGGTAAGAATAGGAGATAGGAATTGGCTAGGCAGTTAGGGTAAAAAGACCCCAAAGAAAAGTAGTCAGTTTCTTGGCTAAAACCCAAAATGTCCTGGGGCCTCATAGCAGCATACTTTGTTCCAAAGGCCAAAAATGTCAAAAGTATTTGGGAGCTCTTATCTAATCCCTAAAAGATGAAAGGCTTACCTCTTCAGAGGGGGAAATGTTAGAGTAGCAAAAAGCCCCATAAAAAAAAAAAGAGGGCCGGGCGTGGTGGTGCATGCCTTTAATCCCAGCACTTGGGAGACAGAGGCAGGCAGATCTCTGTGAATTCAAGGCCAGCCTGGTCTACATAGTGAGTTCCAGGACAGCTGAGGCTACAGGGAGACCCCGTCTCAAAAAGACCAAAAAAATAAAAATAAAAAAAAAGAAGAAGAAGAAGAAAGTACATGAAGTTATCAGAGTTGGAGGGGAGGGAGTGGGCGTGGATTTGATCAAAACACCTTTATATGCATGTATGAAATTCTCAGTAAATTTTTTTTTAAGTTTAAAAAAAACCCCTAAAAAACAATACAAAACAAACAACAAAAATCCTTTTTGTTTAGAATCTAAGTTCTCCTTTTGTTAATTTGGAAGAAAATTAAAATACTGTGTCAGCACTGTAGATGTAAGTGGGTTATCAAATCCAATTGGTTGCTACAGAAAATGTTTTGGCAGCACTAGATAAGAAAATGCTTAGTATAATACAATGTTGTAATATTAGCTTAGGACAAAATTACACGAACATCACTAGAATTATATGCCTATATAATCAATTTATAATATAACTTTTAGAAATGTTACTGAAGCAAATATGTTATTAACGTGTGAAGCAGTTTTTGAAATATTACTTTTATTAAATGTCCTGAGTATTCCATAATCAAAAAAAAAAGAAAATAAAAAAGAGGGGCTAGAGAGATGGTTCAGTGGTTAACAGAACTGGCTGCTCTTGCAGAAGACCCGGGTTCAGTTCCCAGCAACTAACAACTGTCTGTAACTCCAGTTCTGGGGGGTCTGACAACTTTTCTGACCTCCATGGACATTGCAAAACACGAATGTACTTACGAATGTGCAGGCAATACACTCATACACACAAACTGAAAATAAGAGATACAGTTTTAAAAAAAGAAAAAGAAAGAAAATCTGGACTTAGAACTGTGTGTGATGGTTCATGTCTATAATCCCAGCTACTCTGGAGGCTGAGGCAGGAGGATTATTGTGAGTTCCAGGCCAGCTAGAGTTACTTAGTGAGATCCTATCTCAAAAAAACCACCACTTGAAAACAGAGGCAGGCAGTATCTTTTTGAGATTGAGGCCAGGCCAGCCTGGTCTATCTAGTAAGTTCTAGGCCAGCTGGGGCTACAAGGAGACCCTGTCTCAAAATGTCAAAAAAAGAAAGAAAGATAGAAAAAAAGCCCTGGTCTCCTAGCTCTGCTGGTGACAAAGCCATGTTTTTTGGTGTTGGGGATTAAGCCCAAGGCCCTTCATGTAGAAAACAGATACTGGACCAGCAAGTTACCTCCCCAGCCCTACCAGGTCACTTTTTTTCTCTACCACTGAGCTACCTCCCTGTCCTGACCAGCCACTTTTTAAGCTCTAGATCTCCTCATTTAAATAAATTAATTGAAGAGAACCAGAGTTTTCTCAGCATTTCCCAGCTATCAAGATCACCTGAGTACTTCCTAGACAAAGAATCACTTGACCTTGCCTTGGGAGGCAGAGGCAGGCAGATCTCTGTGAGTTCAAGGCCAGCCTGGTCTACATAGCTGCAAGTTCCAGGCCAGCTGGGGTTATAGGGAGACCCTGTCTCAAAAACAAAAAAAGAATTACTTAACCTTGAGCAGGCAAGATGGTCCAGAGGGTAAAGGTACTTACCATCAAGCCTGACAACCCTGGGACCCACATGGTGAAAGAAGGAAACCAATTCCTGCATGTCTTCCACATGTACACCATTGCAGGAATACATGAACACACATATACACAGACACAGACACACAATAAATAAATAAAAATGTAGAAATAAATTTTTTAAAAATCACTTGGCTTGCCCCTAAAAATTCTGATTTTAAAGTCAAGGTCAGGATCCAGGAACTCACTTTTTAAAATGTTTTATTTATTACTATTGTGCTTGTGCATACATGATGTGGGGATGTGAGGAGTTGGGTCATGTGTGCCACAATGCCCATGTGGAGGTCAGAGGACAACTTTTGGAGTTGGATCTCCATTTCCATCTTTATGTGGGTTCCAGGGATCGAACTCAGGTCACCAGACTTGTGTGACATACTCCTTACCCACTGAGCCATCTCATTGGCCAGGAACTCATTTTTAAAATACTCCAGGTGATTGTTTTATTTTGTTTTTACAAGAAATATTTTTGTAAATATTATTTTTGTTGCTGGCATGGTGGTGCACACCTTTTATCCCAGCACTTGGGAGGCAGAAACAGGCAGATCTCTGTGAGTTCAAGGCCAGCCTGATCTACATAGTGAGCTCCAAGTCAGCTGAGGCTACAGGGAGACCCTGTCTCAAAAAGATCAAAAAATATTATTTTTATTTTACATGTATGAGTGTATTGCCTGTATATAAATGCACTCATATTGTGCAATGCCCATGAAGGTCAGGAGAGGGCGTTGGATCCCCTCAAACTGGAGTTATGGCTGGTTGTTAGACATCACGTGGGTGCTGGGAACTGAATCTGGGTCCTCTGAAAGAGCAGCCAGTACTGTTAACTGATGAGCTATCTCCCCAACCCCTACAAGAAATATTTTTAAAACATTTATTTTATGTGTGTTTTGCCTACATGTATGTAAGTACACCCATGTCATACAATACCCGCAGAAGTCAGAAGAGGCCATCACATTCCCTCAAACTGGAGTTAGGGAAGGTTGTTAGCCACCGAGTGGGTTCTGGAAACCAAGCCCTGGTCCTCTGTAAAAGCAGATAGTGCTCTTAATTGCTGAGCTGTCTCTCCAGCCCTGATTTTTTAATTTTTTATTTATTTTTGTTTTTTTGTTTTCTGTTTTTTGAGAGCAGGTCTCACTATGTAGCTTTGGCTAACCTGGAACTCACTATGTAGACCAGGCTGGCCTCAGACTCACAGAGATCCACTTGCCTCTGCCCCCCAAGAATTGGGATTAAAAGCATTCTCCATCACACCTGACAAAGTCTAGGTGATTGTTATTTGGAGTCAATTAACTAAGCCACCTATGAGACTTCTTTGAAGGCTCTTTTGTGATTCTGTGTGGTTGTATGGCATCCCTGGGAACAGTATCTGAACTCTCCAAATGGCCTATCTTAGGTCTAGCCCTGGCTATCTACTCAGAGGCTACCCAGGCCTAGCCCAGCCATCTCCTGGGGCTCAGTCACCCTTCCTGGAGACACTATCCTTCAGGCCTTTGTTGCTTTACTGAGAGATACTTGTTCACCAACAGCCTTCCATATCACATGATTGGTGTCCTGATTCCCAGAGTCTACCCACACTGAATGTCTTCTTATAATAAAGTGGTTTACAATAAATGTGCTTATTGTTAAAATACTATTTTAGAAAGTAAAGTAGAAGAAAAATTAGAACCACCATCTACCCAGCACTCAGGAGGCAAAGGCAGAAGGCCAGCCTAGTTTACACAGTGAATTCCAGGCCAGCTGAGACTTCTAGCTGGGACTCATGTAACCCAGGCTGGCCTTAAATTCTCCATGTAGTGGATAAAGACCCTGAACTTCTGATCCTCCTGCCTCTACCTCTAGGCATGTGCCACCACTCCGTTTTCTGTGGTACTCAGGATATACATATGACTTCTTGGATGCTAAGCAAATCCTCTACCAACTGATCCACATCTCCAGCCCTGTTGTTATTGTTGAGACAGGATCTCAAGATGTAGCCCATGCTAGTCTTGAACTTGCCTGGTAGCTGAGGCTGTCCTCAAGTACTGGGGACATAGGCATGAACCACCGTACTCAACTAATACTTCTATTTTTTCATTCTTACCTTTTTTCTGTGTTGATTTTTCTCTCATACAGTCTTAGTACTTTTTTTTTCAGTACTAGAGCTTGAAGTTAGGACTACAAGTCACTGAACCTGACCTAGTAATAATTCTTCTCCTCCTCCTCCTCCTCTTCCTCCTCCTCCTCCTTCTTCTTCTTTTTTTTTAAGACCTCAGTGTAGAGCACAGGATTGCCTTGAATTTGGGATCTTTCTGCCTTTACCACTGGAGTGCTGGGATTACAGATGTGCACCATCACTCCTGGGTTGCAGAATGTGGAAGGGGACTGGGACTATAGTGAGCTTGCCCATCTGAGAAAAGACAGCAGAAAGGCCCCTCACCCTCTGAGCCTTACAAACAAGCCTCTGCCTCCCAAGTGCTGGGATTAAAGGTGTGCGCCATGACGCCTGGCTATTCTTTTGTATTTTAAATTGAATTTTTGCAATTTTCTACAATATAGTTTGATAGCATTTAGATTCACTCTCCTCTCCCTACCTCCCCTCAGTCCCCATGGTTTGTTTCCATTTTCCTGGCTCCTGCATTGACCTAGTAATTCTTAGACATTAGTTTTGTGTTACTTTGTTTGGGTTTTTTTTCCTGTTTGGTTTTTGTGCCCAACTGGAATTGAACTGGGGCCTCATGCATGCTAGGCAAGTACTCTGTTGTTAAGCCACACCCACAACCCTCAGATGCTATTTTAAACGTGTTTCATTACCATGCCAAATTTGAACCCATAAAGGTTCCCAAAATAGTTTTGGTAGCTTTTAAGTAACATTAGTACTTTTTTTTTAAGGTTTATTTGTTACTTTTATTTATGTGTGTGTGCCTGCACAAGTTTACGTGCACCATGTATGTGCAGCGGCCCACAGAGGCTAGAAGATTGGATCTCCTGGAACTGGAGTTATGAGTCTCCTGATGGGGGTACTGGGAACCAAGCCCTGACCCTCTGTAAAAGCAGTATATGTTCTTAACTGCTGAGCCATCTCTTCAGCCCCACGTTAGTACTTATTATTAGCTCCACCCCTGTATTGAATTGGAAGAAAGAGTTTTATTCTGTTGCTTGCTGAGCCTGGGTCTCCTGTGGCTGAGTGCAGAGGGAAAGTAGCTGACCCCGGTTCTTCGTGTCCCCAGGTGGGAGGAGAAGATTCCTCTGGCCAAAACCACCCTGGAGAAGACCTGGCTGTTCCATGAGATTGGCCGTTGTTACTTGGAGCTGGACCAGGCATCGCAGGCCCAGAGTTATGGTGAGAAGTCTCAGCAGTACGCCGAGGAGGAAGGGGACCTGGAGTGGCAGCTGAATGCCAGTGTTCTGGTGGCACAGGCACAAGGTACGGGCTCAGAGATGCCTATCCCACTTGCCTCTCCCAGCTTCAGGCCCAGCTGCTACCTGTGGACTGGGAGTCCTGAGGGCTGAGCCTACCAACTGGTTGCCTGTTCCCTTTTTAATTTTGAGAGTGAGGACAAACCACTCTATTTTGACCAACATACAGTAAATGCTTACTTTAAGGCAAGCTCAGTCAGGAAAGCTCTAAGAGCTGTCGCAGAGGTTGGTTGCAGGCCAACACAGCATCATCTCATTCTCAGTGTATTAGCCAATGAATACCTGAGGTAGGTGACTCTGTGTACCTCACTATTTTGAAGGTTTAGGCACCAGGTGCTGGCTTCGACTGGGCTCTGACGAGAGCTTCTTGCTTGGCTGCATCCCCTCATGGCATACTGAGGCAGCAAGGCCCGCACAGATTGAGCAAACCACTCTCCAGACAGGAAGTTAAGGAGCTGGGTGTAGCCAAGCCTGAGCTTTTTTATTTTTTTGAGACAGGGTCTCCCTGTAGCCCCAGCCGGCCTGGATTCCCTATGGAAACCAGGCTGGCCTCGAACTCACAGAGATCCACCTGCATCTGCCTCCCAAGTGCTGGGACTAAAGGCGTGCGCCACCACGCCCAGCCAAGCCTGAGCTTTTACAGCCACCCTTACACAAGAACTAACAGGGGATTTCATGAGAGTCTGTTCCATATAGAGCACAATTCATATGGTTTCGAATGAAGAGTTTGTTAAGTACATAGCAAGCAGGAGTAAAAGACTAAAAGAACAGTGCTGGGCGTGGTGGCGCACACCTTTAATCCCAGCACTTGGGAGGCAGAGGCAGGCGGATCTCTGTGAGTTCAAGGCCAGCCTGGTCTACACAGTGAGTTCCAGGACAGCTGGGGCTACAGGGAGACCCTGTCTCAAAAAGACAAAAAAAAAGAAAAAGAAGAATAAAAGAACAGCAGCAGAAAGATAGCAGAGCATCAGATCAGAGTCTTGCTGTACCCAGCAGCACCACCACACCTGGTTTATGCCGTGCTGGGCCTGAAACCCAGCATTTCATGCATGCTAGGCAAGTACTCTGCCATCAGAGCTACATTCCCAGCTCCTAGAGCTTCTTATAAGTGGGAACGGGGAGAGAGCAATAGAAAATCACGTTTTCTGTGAGGATTAAGGCAGAGGGACTCTTACATCATGACAACTGAATTTAGCCCATTTGGGAAGCTTGGCTGTTATCACTCTAATCCTAATTTCTCATAAAGTCAGATAAACAGCTTAGTTTCAACTTGTGACATTGGACTTTAGTGTGAGTGACTCCACTTTGAATTTGAGTCTGGTCTCGCTGGAGTTTAGTGCAAGAGCTTTGTCCAGAGAATAGCCTTCTATAATTTATATTTAACAGGCTTCTGATCCCTGTGCTAAGCTGCCCCTGTGGTGCAGCTAACCCCAGTGAGGGAAGAGATGTGACAGAGCTGTAGTCAGGGACATGTTCATTAATTTATACCACAAACCCTTGTATCATGTAGGTATCAGGTCAGGTCTACAGAAACAGGAAAGTTACAGGCCCCAATCTATCTGTGGCTCAGCAAAAATATGTATGTAAAAATGTATGAGGAGGGGCTAGAGAGATGGCTCAGCAGTTAAGAGCACTGGCTGCTCTTGCAGACGGCCCAGGTTCAATTCCCAGCACCCACATGGTGGCTGGCAACAATCTGTAACTCCAGCTCCAGGGGAATCGAACACCCTTTTCTGACCTTTGTGGGCATTGTGCAATGCAAGTGACCTTACATATATGCAGGCAATACACTCATACACATAAAATAAAAATAATAAATAAAATATTAAAATAAATAGATAAAAATGCTTAAAAAGGGGGAAAAGATGAAAATGGCCCTCAGAATTGAGATAATTTTAGGGATTTGTTTTCCTTTCAAAGTACTGGGACCTGAGCCCAAGGCCTTGTGCACTCCAGTCAAGTGTTCTTCTGTTGAGCTACCTCCCTAGCTTGACTTTATGTCATAAGTAAGCAAACTGGCTCCTCTATAGACCTTAGCATCAGTGTCTCACTGCCCTATGAATGAATGCTAATTCACTTTTTCAAATGCATATTTGGACAAAAATGTCTGACTTCATTTACTGTGACGCCACATACTTTTAGTATTACACTCAAAATTTGACTTATGAGCCCAACGCCCTACCCCATGAATCCCAAAGCAGTGTTTAGGGAGGGGTAGATCTTGAGATTGCTCAGGTATAAAAGGCAGCAGGGTAGAGGAAACAGGTTATAGTCTTCTTAGATTCTATCACCTTCCTTCCTGAAATGAGCTCTTTTTAAGGGCAGAGATCTTTTAATCAGCCAGTCAGTAAATCATTCCAGTCTTAGCCCCAGCACTAGCTGGCTAGGTAAGCTCTGCAGAGACACTGTTCTTGGGGTTTAGATAGTTAGATTCTATCAGTAGAGGGGGAGCTGAGGTTCTAGCAGCTGTTCATGGCTCACACCCAACTTTCCATGCTGCCCTTCTGTGCAGTGGGATGATGATGATGCAGTGTGTGTTGTAGACATGTATGTGCACATGCATGCACCCATGCTCGCACATGCAGAGGCCGGAGGAAGACACTGGGGGTCATCCTCTATTGCCATCTACCTAATTCCTTTGAGTCAGGGTCTCAAAGACAGAACCCAAAGCTCTCCATTTCAGTTAGATTGAATAGCCAGTAAACTCTGGGGATCTTCCTGGATCCACCGCCCCCCCCCCCCAAGAATGGGGCTACAGGCACAGGCAACCATGCCTAGCCTTCATATGGGTGCTGGGGATCTGGACTCAGGTCCTCGTGTTTGCACAGCAAGTGCTCTTACCCACTGAGCTGTCTTTTCAGCCATTCTACCACTTTTCATTCTTTTGTTTTTTAAAGTCAAGTTGGGCTCATGTACTCCATGACTGGCCTCGAATTCAGCATATAGCCAAGGATGACCTTAAACTGATTCCCTGCCTCCACCTCCTAATTCCTGGGATATAGGTGTGTGCTGCCATGTCCAGTTATGTAGTGCTAGGGATCAAGCCTAAGGTGTTAATGCATGCTAGGCACTCAACCAACTTGACTACACCCTAACCCTATGCATGTTTTTGTTTTGTTTTGTTTAATCTTGGACTGTTTAAAGTATAGAATTCCAGTCAGGCCAGTCAGGTGTGGTGGCACACACCTTTAACCCCAGCACTCAGGAGGCAGAGGCAGGCCAATATCTATGAGTTCAAGGCTAGCCTGGTCTACATAGCGAGTTCCAGACCAGCTGGGGCTACAGGAGACCCTGTCTCAAAAAAAGACCAAAAAGTAATAATAATAAAAATAAAAGTATAGAATTCCTCTTCTGGAACAGGTTCCAGGTAGGGCAAGATGAGGTTGTATTCTTTCTTTTTTTGGGGGGGTCTTTTTGAGATAGGGTCTCCCTGTAGCCCCAGCTGGCCTGGAACTTGCTATGTAGACCAGGCTGGCCTCGAACTCACAGAGATCTGCCTGCCTCTGCCTTCCGAGTGCTGGGATTAAAGGCATGTGCCACCACACCCGGCAAGGTTGTATTCTTTACCCTAAAGATACATGATGTGTGCACTGGCCCCTATTCTAAGACCCTTCCCTACTGACTCCTTTGAAAGGCCTGGGATCTACAGTCTGGGCCTCTGGGTCCCAGTTCTCAGTGGTACACAAACCAGAAATATGACCACAGGGACAGTACTGAGCAGCTCAGCTGTGATACCCAGCATTTGGGGCTGCCTGGTAGTCGCCAGGCAGACCAGGGACTCCGTCAGGCTTCCCACAGTGTCTCAGTCTGTTTGTACTCTGCCTTCTCCCCTTGTTCTCCAGTGAAGGTGAGAGATTTCGAGTCGGCTGTGAACAACTTTGAGAAGGCCCTAGAGAGAGCCAAGCTGGTTCACAACAACGAGGCGCAGCAGGCCATCATCAGCGTGAGCCTTTGTCACTGTGCTTGGGGGTAGGGAGTGGGAGCAGGTAGTCAGGCCCTCAGCCCCCTCGGTTCTCCACAGTTACTTATTACCCATCTGTCACAGGACACACACATGGGCAGGGCACTGGCTTTGACATGTTTGCCACTGCCATCCATTTGAACAGTAGTCAATTCATATGGTTTTATTTGAAACAAAAAACAAAACCGAAACATTTACAAAACATGTCCATCTCTACAATGTTTTATGCACCCTGACAGCTCCTACTGGCCTCTTATTTATGTATTTACTATTATTTATTTATTTATATTTATTTTATATATATGAGTATATTGTCTGCTTGTAGGTAAGTGTACTTGTGTTGTGCGATGCCAGAGGAGGACAGAAGAGGGTGTCAGATCCCCTGGAACTGGAGTTATGGACAGTTGTTAGCTGCCATGTGGGGGCTGGGATTCGAACTGGGGTCTTCTGCAAGAGCAGCCAATGCTTTTAACCACTGAGCCATCTCTCCAGCCCCATTATTTATCTATTTCTTTGATGTGGAATCTCTTTTTATTGCCCATGCTACCCATCACCCTCCACCTCAGCTTCCAGGGTAACTGGGACTGTATGCACAGGCTATTGCACCACACCTGGCTTTCCATTGTCCTTTGTTTGACATTTTTCGTGTATGTGTGGTGTGTGTGGAGTGTGTGTGTGTGTGTGGTGTATGCATGTTTTGCATGTATGTGGACAGGTGTGTGGACGTGCACATGCATGTGGAGGCTCGAGGTAGATGTTAGGTGTCATCATCACTCTTCACCTTATTCACTGAGGCAGAGTCTCATTCAAACCTTGAGTTTGCTGTTATCTAAGAGACCTTCTCTCAGAGACCGGTGTAGAGAAGCAAGAGAAAGGAAACCACACTGCCTCCTCCAGGGACAACAAGAGACAGTGTGATTTTCTTTCTCTTGCTTCTACACTGGTCTCTGAGAGAAGGTTCCTTGGGGCTGGGAAGGTCTTCCTTCCTGTGGGGTTCTCCAGCCTTCCAGCTAGGAGGCTCCCGCCCTGCCCCTTATATTCTAGCTCCAGCTAAAGCTAGCCTTCAGCCTTTTCCTGAACAGCCTCTCTTATGCCTACAAGCAAAGGCTTTTATTTTTGTCTAGAGTGTTCCAAGCCCTCCCAGCCTCACCACCTCCACAAGTCTCTCAGTCAACCCTTAGGTTTCAGCTTCAAGATCTCATCTCTGAGGAGGCCTTCTCTGACCCCTCAATCTGGCTGGGCTGACATCTGTCCTGGCTGCTTCCATCCCCATATGTCCTAGTGAAAGTCCTCATCACCTTATTGAAATTGCCTGGCTCTGCACATAGGCAGCTGCTTGGCACATTCCACTGTTTAGGTTAAAGTGAACTGAAAGTAAATTTAAAGTTCAGATTCTTCTAACTGTATTTCAAGTGCCCAGTAGCCACATGTGGTCTGTTGGCACCACATTGTACATGTCTAGAATATGCCCATTGTCATGGAAATTCCTGTTGGGCAATGCTGGGCTAGCCTGGAAGTGTCAAGGGGCAGAGTCCAGGAGGTGCCCTGGGCTCACCCAGCCCATCCCAGCCTGTTCCCAGAGCCACTACTCCAGGTAGATGCAGGGCGTCAGCCAAGTGGGATGCTGACCACCTCAGGAATCCCCAGATAGCCACCCACTACCCACCAGATAGCTGTCCTCAAGCCCCTCACATGGTGAACTTCTGAAGGCAGGCAGGCCTAGGGTAGACCCCAGTAAACATCTGCTGGAGTGGATGTCAGTGGGGTCCCTATCCTCAGAAGCAGGCCTCTAGCTGACAGGCCAGAGTGCATAACTCAGCAACACTGGCACGGCCTCAGGGACCAGAGTGGAGATGCATGCAACAGGAGCTTAGGAAGGGTACAGGGCACCTGGGAAGTCACACCCTGAGGATGCACCTAGGAGACAGGCCTCGTGCGGGCTCTGAAGGACAAGCATGCAGGATTGACTGGGTCTAGCGGGGCCCTGTGGGGCCTGGACTGGAAGGGCAGGAGATGCCAAAGAAGCAACTTCTTGGGAGGCAAGTTTGTGATGAGTTTGGGAGGATGGTGGTAAGACTTCTCTGTTGCAGTGGGAAAATCCCTCCCAAGAGGCCCCAGTGAGTGGCAGGTTAGCCTCTGCTTCCACACTTCTCAGGGCTTGCCCCACTGCTGCCCGGTTCCTGTTGTGGAGGGCTAGTTCCTGTGATACACTCCTCACTCTGCCTCTGTCCTGGCTGGGGAGAATACCATTCGTCGTTCCAGCCTTCTGTGTCCTCTGTGATTCTCACACAGGGTCTCTCGTACATCACTGTCTCCCATGTGACCACCCAACAGAAAGCTTGGCCTTTCAGTATAGCAAGATTTTCTAGAGCACAGTGTTGGGTGGCTGAATCCAAGGGTGGCTGGCTGTGGTCCTGAACCTTGAGAAGCATGGTGTCCTCAGGAAGATTGAGACAAAAGCACAAGCCTGGTTTGTGAGCAACAGCATAAGGGACCAGGGAGATTCAGAGTGAGAGTCCTGGTCTCCTGAGAGGCAGAGATGGAGGCTGTCCCAGAGTTGGAGGTCACCCTGAAGGCTGGGCAATGATTTCATGAGTTGACAGGCAGAGACAGGATGCTATTGGCACTCAGTGGTCCCTTGTCGGACCAGGTCCATGATGCCTCACCCTCCTGGATTGGCATCTTTCAGCAGGAAGGCTAACAGTACTGACCCTAGAACCATGCTGCAGAAGGGTAATCGGACCCTCCAGCCACTTAATACATGTGTCCAAAAGCTGCAGGTGCAGCGCCCAGTGCTAGCTTCTGAGACAGCTATGACAGAGGTGGAACCTGACTTCAAGATCACACAGAGAGTAGGGTGTGGTAGTATGAACATGTAATTCCGGCTGAGGCACGAAGATTGTGAGATGCAAAAGGATCATGAGTTTGAGGCCAGCCTGGACAACATAGACCCTGTTTCTAAACCAACCAACTTGGTATGGCAGCACATGCCTGTCATCCCAGCACATGGAAGGTAAAGGCAGGAGGATCAGGAGTTCAAGGCCAGCCTTGACCACCTGGGCTACATGAGGCCCTGATTTAAAAACAACAAAACAAAAAACAGCCAGTCAACAAACAGAAAGCAGTGTACACAGGCCAGGTGCAGTGGTGCAAATATGTAAGTACTACAGAATGAGGCAAGAGAATCTCTTGAGCCCAGGAGTTTAAGGTCAGCTTGGGAAACATAAGGAGACCATGTCTCAAAGTAAATAAATAAAAGTGCAGAGCTGAGCTCCAGAACCCTTATGAATTGGACTGGAGTTGAGAGCCCCTTTGGAAGACAGAGCAGGCCTTGGCACATCCCTTTGGCTTGCTGCCTTTCTATGCTTTCAGGGGTATTCTGTGAAGCAAGAGTAGCTGAGCCCAGTGTGGAGGTGCACAGCTGTAATCCCAGAATGCAGGGAGGCTGAGACAGCTTAGTGAGCCCCTGTCTCAAAGCGGGGAAAAAGAAAGAGTAGGGACTGAAGAGATGGCTCAGCAGTTAAGCACTGGCTGCTCTTGCAAAGGATCCCTTTTTGGTTCCCCACATGGCAGCTAATAACTGTAACTCCAGTTCCAGAGTATCCAATGTCCTCTTCTGGCCTCTGCAGGCAATGTACACATGTAGTGTACTTACATACATGCAGGCAAAACACTCACACACATAAAAATAAATGCCTTAATTTTTTTTTTTTTTTTTTTTTT